TGTGTGGCTCATGACCGAGTGTGGGGAGGCAGCCGGATCGGGCCTTACAGTTTTCTCATATCGGTGGCTGGAATTAGTATTAGTATTATTTGCGGAGACATTGTGGGGTCTGGACCATGTCGTTTGTTCGTCTACAGGGAGGGCGCGGCTGCCCGACCGCACAGCAGTACTCTGCGTGAACAAGGCAATTGATCCTTCAATTAGGCTGTGCCCCCCGCAGCAGCAGGGGGAAGTGGTGGGGCAGTGTAGCGCCACGCCGGCGGCGGTCAACGAGGCCCTCGCGGCCGTCAAAATAGCGTAAAAATAGACACGGCCGGTCAGCTGACGGGTGGCGGCCCCCACGGCTGCTGGTGGGTACTGGGCTGACGATGAGCTGGGCCTTCTTTGTCTAAGAGCTGGGCGTCCTCTGTGACGCGCGGACCCGCACACTCCAGTTCTCCAGTCATTATTCTCCAGAAAACGGGGTCGGCGGCGGACTGCTGGCCTGCCCCGCCTTTCCGTGGAACTTCCCTGGGCATCGACGTCCTGATCGACGCCCGTCACGTCAGCAACCCATGTGTGGCAAGAGTAGCCGGGAGGAGGGGCCGTCCCTAACGCCGAGGGGCGGGCGGGGCTGGCCGGAGAATGTGTGCTGTTGTAAGGAGAGGACGGAGGACGGCCACTTGTGATTTTCCGAAGGTCCCTGGGTGGCCGCCCGGACGTCTGGCGGGCCGGCTCAATGCGTCGTCGCTGTGGGGTGATTGGGGCCCAGTTTAGGGGGCTCGGGAGCTCCCGGTTCATATAATGAAATTTTCGCAAAGTGGTATATCGCCCGGACTACCTTTCTAAATGCTAATGGGGGTCGTTTGGCTCGATAAGAGCGTTCGAACTGGGCCCGTTTCGCACGCGGTCGCCGTCTTTTGTTGACGCAAACCGCACACAGGCCGCAGTGGGGCGAGGCGGCCTGGGGCGGCGGGGGCTCCGCCGCGATCACCTGATCGCCAAGTAACCAGTGATTACCGAGAAAGTAGCCGGCGAGCGGCACGGCCACGCGGCTAGAACGTGGTGGTGGTGAGGCCAGCGAGCCGCACCACAACACGCCACGGCACGGCACACGAGCAAGCACAGCATCTAGGACCCTCCTCGGCTCCCCACCTCCCCCTCGTCAAGGCCCGCGAAACTTCCGACTTGATCCGCAGAAAACCAGACGTGACTGACGGGGTGGCGCAACGGCGGTCCGATATGCAATGTTGTGCTGGGGCGTGGCGTGGCGTGCTGGGGCGTGAGGGCCCAAAGTGGCGCGCTGAAACATAAGACCACCGCGCTGGAGTCCGTCAGGACGGGACGTGCTGTCGCCTCGCTTCCGCCGTGCGTGGAAGTTTCCTGCGCCGTGACAGGCGCGCCGCGGAGGGTGGTGGGTGGGGAGCCGCCCCCACCCCACCTCACACCTCAACCCTTTCCGCTGATGCTTCATGTCCCGTATCGGCGGCCCTGCTCCTCCTCGTCTCGCACGGCATTGCGCGCGTGCCAGCGCCGACGCCTCCTCTTCAGTGTAATGGACAAATCACCTCGCTCGGGCGGCCGACGCCACGCAGACTGCTCCCGCGGCTCGCGCCGCCCGCTCCAGACCAGACCGGCTCCAGAGCTTCACGACCCGGTTTGATCAGCTGGGCGAGCAGATTGATAGATGCCCGACCGGCAGCGGAGACGGAGCGAGCAGACGTGTGGAGACGCAAAGAAGATGTGTACTGTACATTTAGGGGGGGGGGGGGTCCTCGGCTGTTTTGGTTGTCAGGCGGAATACAGCGCGAGGTAACGGACCGGGTAGAGGCGGTGACGATGGTGTATGGAGACAGCAGGACCAGACAGAGTCGTCATTTCCCCCCTTCGTCAGTTTCCCCTCTACCCGCCCACGGCCTCCGTATGACGTGGTGCTTTCCTTCCTATGAGCTCCGCCATCAGGACGCGGACGCGGCTCACTCGGAGCGCGCGCTGCGCTTTCCTCCTCCGCCACCGTGACGCGAGCCGCGGGCCAGGCCGACGTCGTGACGCAAAAAGACCGCGACGGAGGCAACCTTGACTCGCTCGCACACCGGCGAGGCTCTCCTCTTGTTCTCGCCCGCGCCGCCCGCGCCGCCCGCGCCCCGCACTGCTCGACTGACTGCACCGTGCACTTGTTCCTGTTGCAGGTGACGGTGACGCGAGCCCCGCTGGACCATGACGGCCGCAGCCCGCGGCTCGGTCCGCAAGAGCGGCGGCCCGGACGCCCAGGACGGCGCCGGGGAGGCGGCGCACGCCAAGGAGGCGCCCGTCATGCGGGCGCCCGACGGCGGCTGGGGATGGATGGTCGTCCTCGGGGTTGGCATCGTCAACGTGAGTACTTCATCGCCGACCTTTGCGGAGATCACATCCGCGTCGGCGACCTGGTCCCAGTACAAGCCCCTCTGTTGCAGCTCGCCACCCGGTCGCTGGAGCCGTCCTTCGGGCTGCTGTTCGCTGACCTGCTCAAGAAGCTGGAGGTGGCCACCACCGGCGCCGCCATCATCGTGAGCGCGCAGGACGCCCTCATCAACTTCTCAGGTGAGCTCGTCCTCTTCGGCAGGAGGTTTGGCGGTTCCTGGTTCGGAACCGGTGGCCCGGACCGGAAGTGGCGCCCGGAGGTCCCCGGTGCACTGTGACCCGCGCGCCGCGCGTCCTTCGCCCTGCCGCTGCAGATTTATTATCGCACTGTCCCTGGCGTCCCTGGAAGCGACCGGCGCGGCGGCGGCCGAGGGACTTCCCCCCGGAGCCTCCGCGCCTCCACGTTGACGTCGTGAAATATGTGTGTAATGTGTCCCTGTTCCGTCCACAGGCCTGTTCGCCGGCCCGCTCATCCGAAAATACTCGTACCGCAAGGTTGCGTTCTTCGGCGCGCTGCTGGTGGCCATCGGCATCCTCGCCACTGTCCCGGCCAACAGCGTGGCGCACATCATCGCCACGTACTCGGTGCTCATAGGTGAGTTGGGGTCTCGTGTCCGCCCCTCGGCCTCGGTCTGTCCTTTGTGCACCTCCTGACCGTCTCCGTACTCCGCTGCCCCGCAGGCCTGGGCGTCGGCTTCTCCTCGGCGGCCACGTTCGTGTCGCTGTCGCACTACTTCCAGGCGCGGCGCGGCCAGGCCGTGGGACTGAGCATGGCCGGCACCGCGTTCGGCTTCATGCTCGCCCCGCTGCTGGTCCGCTACCTCCTCGACGAGCTCGGCTTTCGCGGCGCACTCCTAGTCCTCGGCGGCGTGGCGCTCAATGGGCTGGCCGGCGCCTTCCTGCTGCAGCCGGCCAAGTGGCACCTCGTGCCCGTCCAGCCCTGCGACCAGGACATCCACCTTGACCTCGAGGACCACGGCGACGAGCAGGACGAGCCACCCATCATGATCAGAGAGTCTGCCATCCCGCTGCTGGCGCGGCCTCGCATCGAGCTCACCCTCGTGGAGGAGGACGAGGAGGCGTACCAGCTCACCATCCGCGCGCAGAACAACGAGAGGAAGACCTCCACCGTGTCGCAAGGGGGTGGCCTGGCGTTCGAGATCTTCTCCGACCCAAAGAGGAAGTTCTCTGTAACCGCTGCTCCCACTGACACTTCCAAGGCCAGCCTCGAGGATTCGGAGCCTCATGTGAGTAAATCAAAAGGGAAGTCCCCTCCAAAATGAGACGAATGGTACTGACTTTTTATTTTTCTTCTCAGCTCTACCCAAGTCGGAAGCTTTCGCAACCTGCGATGCCTCGTAATGCGTCCATTCTCAGTATGGAGGATCACGGGCCAAGGCGAGTGCCTGCAGGCAGACATGGTTTACCAAGAAACACTTCAGTAGTGTCCATGTCAGTAAGTATTTTTTTTTAATAGCACGGTGCGTTGTATCGACACTGCCTCACAATTGTACAAAAGAAAACACACAACGTGAGATCACAACATAATTTTTAAATTTCTTCCGTAGGTAGCTGATGTAACAAATGAAAGGAAATTGTCCCGAACACATTATGGCATTCCTCGTAATGTATCTTGGTTAAGTATGGGACCTGAGGAGACAACAGGACGAAAGTTGAGTCGTGCTGGTATGCCAGGAATGACTCGAGCTGTATCATCAACGCGAATTCGAAAAGCTTCAATAATATCTGCAAGCAGTATGGATCTTACTGGAAGTCTTCTGGCTATAGCTGCAGCAGTGAGTTCAAGCCTAACACTTCTTTCTTATGTTTGCCCAATATACTTTGTGTTCATTACATGACACTGAATAATTACAGGCTTCCACTCAAGACCTTCATCGATCCATGCAAAACAACAACACAATTATTGGCTCCCATGACAATATCAACGATAAAGATCAGGATACCCATATTTCTTGTTGGAAACGGGTATCAAATTTCTTGGACCTTGACCTCCTAAAAGATTCTACATATTTGAATATAACTTTAGGATTGTCACTTTTTTGGGTAGCAGAACTGCACTTCAAAATGGTTGTACCATTTTTCCTTGTTGATATGGGTCATACCAAAGCCGATGCTGCTCTCTGTCTTAGTATGAGTGCTTTCTCTGATATCCTAGCTCGCCTCATTTTACCTCCCATTTGTGACAGAGTGAAGTACAAAAAACGAACTTTGTTTTTTGTTGCTTGCATTTTTCTGACTATATCAAGATCAGGTATAAGCTCCACTAAAACTTTGATTTTAAATGGAGACGCATTAAACGTGGTTTTATATAAACTTGTACTTTTCAGTGATGGCTGAACAGACATCTTGGGCTCCACTCATGACATCTTTAGTCATCTGCGGTTTTTGCCGAGGAGCAACACTTATCAATTACCAGCTGACAGTTGCAGAATGTGTTACACTAGACAAATTGCCAGCTGCTGTAGGTCTCAACATGGTAGCAAAAGGCATAACAGTTGTCTCACTTGGACCAATTCTTGGTGAGTATAAATCATTTGCTGGGTTTCTACGTGGTATGTGAATGGAATTGAATGAGTTATTTGATGGGTCTTGGTTTATAGGTCTTATTCGAGATGCCACAGGAAGCTATCCCATCTTCATCCATGCTCAGTCTGTGTTAATGACTCTTGGGCTGCTAGCATGGATAGTGGAGTATGTATATTTGTGGTGCAAACGCTCATCAAAAAGACAAAGTGAAACAATGGAAGGCTGAACTAAATGACAAAGTAATAAATCATGCAGAAGTCATGTAATTGTGATGTATAGTGTATATTGTTAGATTTATCATTGGAATCTATTTCATTTATGAGAAAAAGTAATGTGAACTATCATTTGAATCATGGTAGTATTTGCATTTTCTGGAGATTATTGTTCATTCCACAAACCATACCCTGACTATTTCTCTGTGATGTAAGGATTGTTCTAGCAATAGCACTAGAATTTCTTGATTAAAAAAAAATCTGCTTCTTTTGAAAAATAATTGGTGTTTATGTTAAGGTTACCATCACAAAACAACAAAGTCAACATGCAGTCAATTTGTTATTGGCATCATGTTGACATAAAAATGACATGTCTCTTGGATGAAAGTTTTTTTTCCCCCCTTTTTTTGTTGTTGTAAATTTTGACCTTAGAATTTTCATTAGAATGTTGCAGTGAATGTGGATGATTGTATTATTGTTTCGTTGCTGGTTGATCCTTCAGTATGAAACAATTTTTCCTGAACAAGAATACCCTTGCACATAATGTATGTGATGTGTGAATTTGATACACCTAAATGGGCTGCAGGCTCACTATTGCTGATTCACCTGTTAGTGAATGAGCGGCAGTTTCTGATAATAAGCAATGGAAAATTGATAAACTGCTCTCTGAAAATCATTCCATTTGCTCAATGCCCAAACAATTAACTCCCTTTAACCCAGCAGTAGCTTTATTTAAGTGAGGGCAGTTAAATGTTAGTTATAATAAAATCAATGTTGTCTACTTTTAGATCTTACATATTTTCTTAACGAATCCTGTATGTGTGAGTTATTGTGTGTGCAAGTTGTTGTAAAAGTAGTTTTTCTTTCTTTATGAAAGGTGTGTTGGTGTTCATGAATGCATGTTTGTAAAAGAGAGGCTGAGTTAACTGTAATGTTCAGTATATATCTTTTTTAAAAGAGTCATTTGCTCTGAGTAAAGTAGAATCATTTTATGTATATTGAAAATTCTTTGACTATATCCACTCCTATGTTAAGTGTGTATCTGTTTGAAGTGGAAGGTGGTATAACCAGAACAGTATTTATAGCAATAGCATGATAATTTATGAATTATTTTTTAGACTAGAACAAATTTGCTGTACCTGCTGGCACAAATTTTTTCTTACCTTGATATGAGTCAATGTATCTTATTTTGTGCTGGAAATCAACTGAATTTTAAAAATTTACCCCTAACAGAAATTTTAAGTGTTTTGCTGTATTTGTTCTAATTTGTCTTCCACTATAGTGCCCTAAGACACTGTGTCTTTGCAAAGACTGTGAGTATGTGCCTGTATCAAGTATATATAATGTGTCTTGAGAGACCCCCTCTTATCTCTCTTGTAAATAAACAACAAATGAAATGTTTTAATTGTAAATTCTGTTTTTAGAAGAAAAAACCTTTTGCCACTTCTCACTTCTTCAAAAAATAGTGAAAAATTCATTTTTCTAAATAAGTGTTATTTATTTAAAATATGTATTGGAGGGTAATGTACAGCAGGTACTAGTTTTTCGAATATTTAGAGACAAGTGTCTTTACCCAGTAGCCAAACAAGTCAAGCTAAGTCTAAAAGTTTGTTGGTAATAAAAGGAAACTCATATGTTATTCCTTTAGCAGCACCGCAAAATACTTGTTCCACTTTGTTCAAACAGCGAAGGGAACAAACAATCACAGGTGGTAACAAAAAGTCTGAGCTATCAGTTACTAGCCCAATCCTATTGTGGCATCTAATAGCATCAAAGAGATTTTCAGCACTGCATATTTCTTTCCTATCAAAGCCCCCAATAAAGGTCCACACCCATTTCCACTGAGTAGGAGATAGACTTACATCATTTGCTACATGATTGAATATGTACTTCAAGGCCAGGTCGGTGATGATTTCATGTTCAATGAACATATTGCTCTCTCCCTTTTCAAAAACTCTTTCCTAAAAAAAAAAAAATCAGGGTATAGTAACTCCAGTGCTACAACTTACTTCAAATCATAGAGTTGTGCAATACCTCATCAGCTTCAAAATTGCTTGAGTCTGGCAAGGGACCAATGGCTAGAACCAGCAATGTGGCCAAGCAATAGGAAGGAGAACAGCCCATAATAGAATTAAAACTTTGCAATAAATTTTCTAAACATTTCTGAGGAACTGATGGCATCTCTGTTTGGGAAAGTAGAGCTGCATGCAACCTTACAGAAGAGTTGTCATCACAGGCCAACTTTATTCCATTAATCCACAGCTCGCAAACAGTCTCATCTAAAAATAACAATAAGAGCAACAATAATTATTACATTTTAGACCAAATTTTGTCATGGTCAAGTTTCAATATCTGTATTTAGGTGAAATGTTATCTCACCGGATAGGAACAAGTATTGTCGATCTAATGCCAGCCTGTTGTTGGACAGAAAGCTGACAGCTGTCATTCGACTGATAACACTCTTTTCCTCATCACAATATAATTTTACTAATTTACATCCATGCTCACATATTTCAGGTATCTCTTTCTATATTATAAACAAATAATGGATTAAAATACATTCAAATTTGTTATGATCTCTAGATTTTTCTTAAAACACCAATTGAGAAAAATATATTAACTGTTTTGAACTTACTTTATATTGCACCATGTACTTGAGTAAAGAAGAAAAGCATGACAATGCAGCACAAGAAGTACCTTCATGAGGAGATGTGCACCAAAGTAACAGCTTTCTGAGATCAATATCAGAGCACCATAAAGCTGGGGTAACATGTACTAAAGCTCGCAAAGCTAGTGTGCCTTGAATTCCTGTTTTAGACATGGCAATTGCTGCTAGCTTTTCACTCAGCTCTTTACTTTCATGAAAAATTGAGGCACATTCAATACAAGCTTCCTCGGGCAAACGCTCAGACCAGTGTTTGCCCCCTGAAAAGGATGCACCGAATTCTATCAATTAGCTTAACAAAATACATAATTTAACAAGTACACACACATTCAAAACAAAACTAAAAACTAAAATTGATTAGAAGAAGAAAAAAAAAAATACCTCCGCACACATCAGGTACAATGTTTTCAATTTCCAAAATGGTGGTTTGAGCAGGGCCTCGCATGAACCTTTCTAAAAATACCAGAGTTTCTTGCACAACTTCATGATTGATGTGTTGTAGAAGTTTCATGATAATTGACTCCAATTCAACATTTTTGTCATAAATAAGAAGTTGCAAAAGAACTCTTGTTGCTCTTATTTCTAAAACACTCAGACCTAATGATAGGTCATTTACCTTTCCTCCTTTAAGAGTCAAGATGTGTTCAGAAATTAATTCTCGAATTGCTTTCCATAAAGCAGAGGGAACAGATGTGTACCAATTTCCTACAACCACTTCAATTATCTGAAATAAATATGAAGATTAGATTATGGCAGTGATATTTCATCTACACTTAACTTATTAATGTCGCAATAAATAAAACAGACAAAATAGATTATTTTTTCAAACCTGTAAAATTATTTCATGGACAGGATTACTCAAAGATGTGCTCAGGCACAAAAGCAACTTTGATAACCACCTGTGAAAGTGATCACCAATTACTAATGATGGTTCACTATTCACTACAACTGAATTGGCTAATAGATGGACAATCTACAAAGGTAAAAGGGAATATTAGATAGAGACAGTAAACACTTATAGTCCAGAAAAATCTAGAATTAATAATTTTACCTGTAAGGCTATTCCATGGCTAAGGTTTGCTGAATGAGTGGAGGTCAATTTTTCAAACAAGTCATCCACATACTTCACAAATACATCAACGGTTATTAATGGAACCACAGCCTTAGCAGCCAAGACCCGCGTTTTCAATACAGAATTACTTGCACACTGGTAAACTAGTGGCACAAATGAACTCAACTGTAAATTGTTCAAAAACAGAAATTAGAATCAACACAGAAAAGATTAGAAACAACGAAAATAAAAACAAGTAGAGTCGAACCTGCATAGGAGTGTCCATTCCTTCTAATAACGAAGGGTAAAGACGACCGATCAGAAGGAGAATGGGATGAAGTACTGCAAATTCACTGACATCTCCTGAATTTAAGGCATTAACAGCCTGGCTTAGTTCTGACAAAAGGAAATCAAAGAGCGCTGGGTATCGATGGAAGAAGACTCTTCCCGTCAGTTTATTTCTTGAGCTTAATTCTTCTCGACTTCGACGAACACCGAAGATACGAGTCATAAGACTGCTAAAGAGTAAGGTTGCAGAATTTCGCTCCTGAAAAATAATTGATTAAATCAGATTGGAAAAGTTATGGAATTATGGTATTTAGGCTTGGTTGCATTACTTTACATAGTTAACAACTTTAATCAACATACGGCCCATGATTTGCCCTTGAAACCAGATACCGCAACCATCACCCCTTCAGAGATATAAGAGGCAATGTGTTCTGCAAGAGGAGCATGCCGATACAAAGCACGTAGTATGTTTAGAGCATGTGTTCTACATTCCACATGACTATCCTTATTAGCAGCACATGTTAGAAGTTGTGACATAGTTGTTTGGAGAGACTGAGGACTTCCCACAGTTTGAAGCTCAGCTGATACCAGAGCCTGAAAATTGAATGAAGTAAAGAGGTGGAATTCAATTTTCAATATTAGAGAAATCACTGACCAAGACAAACCTGAACAAGGAATGGGACCCCTGCACTCCTCCTGGTAGCACATAACTTGCTTGAAGAGCGTTCATTGCTTTGAATAGCATCTATTAATTCATTTAGCCACAGTTTTGGAAGTTCTTGTAAAGTCTTCTTCGGATGTCTGAGAAAAGTAAGACAGATAACATGACAGAAATATTAGACATGGTAAGAAAATTATGTAGTTAATAACTTTATTTTAACTGAATGATTGATATTTCAATATGAATTAGCTTCTGTAATACCTCCATAAGCGAGCTGCAAGAAGACTAAAACCCACATAAGCTTGTTCAAAAGCACCTCTGTGTTTTGTCTCCTCAAGTAGAGTTGTCAGGTGAACACCAATGGCCAAGACATCTTCTTCACTCAACAAACCATTTGTATCAGGAAGTATTGGACAGCAATCAGACAATTTACCCAACAAAAGAGAAACCTCTTTTACAGTCCGCCAAGAACAAAGTAAAACCATTTGGGCAGTGACTTTTGGATGCAGAGCAGGTGAGGAAGCGCTGTTGGATTTCAACACAGAGGAACCTGCAAAATAATTTTTAGCAAAATAAATGATTTTCTTTTTTACACAATAAAAAAAAAGAGTTGAATTCGTTTTAGAGTTAAGTATAAAAGGACAGAGAAGTAAATAAACAGTGGTTACTTTCATTGAAGTCCATTGGAAGATGTCCTTCTGGCGATGAACTATTTACTATAGGTGATACAATTTTATCCAGCTTAAAACAGAGGGCAACAAGACTTCTAATCAAAATCAACCACTTTGATTTTTCTCCCAATTTGCTGAAAGATTGAAATTAATTAAAATGAATTGTTCTCTTACGCATTAAAGATAAAGAGGACATACCTAAAATCCGGGATTAGCTGTAGCAGGTGACGAATGCAAAACAAAGTTCCATACATTGGACCATTGCTAGCAGCCTGAAGAATGTCATTCTGAGCAACATTCAATTCACTTTCTAACTGTGCTTTCAGACTGATTACAGCATCAAAGATTTCTTCAGTTGGATAGTTTGTGCTGAATGACAATAAATAAATCTTGTTATTAACTATTTTAGTAACATAAAATCATTGTTCTGATGAGATTTAATTGAAATCAAAACTCACTTGTCTGAATTGTTATGAACTTTATGGTTGAGAATGCAACAAAGTTCTAAAAGATAAGCAGCAGAGATACAATCTGCTGGGTTAATACTTGATGCAAGAGTACACCCTTTGTTGAAAAGCTGCAATCTTTTGCTTTCATCCTGGAATGTGTACTATTAGAATGGGTCTGACATTAAGTTCATGCACAGTGCAGGGTCATTAAAAAAATTACTCACATGCAATCCCAGAGGGCAATTTGGATGTGACCCCAAAATTCTTGCAGCCATGGCCTTATTTTCCTCAAAGTTATCAATTAATGTGACACCCAACAAGGTAAGTGCATTCTTATCCGTCCACATTGCATGTAGGCAGTCCTCATTTATTAAAAGAGGGTCAGTTCTAAGAATATCCTGAAATTTATTTAAGAAACTGTGATAACTCAAAAACTCCATGCAGAAGGCAAATTTCATTCCCAAAAGATACTCACAATAATCATTGTGAGGAGTTTTAAAGTAAATATCCTGCGACTATAGTTGGATCCAATCCTAAGATTACTAAAACAAAATGGTAAAATCCAAACCATAAATTCTTGATAATATGCTAAGATTCTCAAAAAATCAATTTCATTTTTCTTCGTTTGTTTTATTGGTCTTGTTAGAGTGTGGGCACTGTCTTTCATACGAGTAAATAACTAAAAATAAATCAATCAATCAATAAATAAATTAAAAAATAGCTTAATTTAAAATATTGTTGAACTATTCTACTTAAATACTTTTAGACATACCTTGGACATGAAAGCAAGAGCTTGCTGACGGAAAGAGGGAATTTCGCAATTCACATTATATTCCAAGAAAGATTGTAGTAATGAGAAATCCATTTTAGAAAAGACTTCAGTACTGCGATTTGTTTCTACAATCAATCCAACAGCAGCAACTCGAATCTAGAAAATAACTGTAAGGTTGAAAAGGTCCTAACGGTGTAACATTTTGGAAAATGGCATTAAAGTATGTGGAACATTCCAGACCTCATCACACTCATGACAAAGTGCAGATCTCAGTAGTGCCACAGGAAGGATTCCAAACCACAATTCTTCATTACTAGTCATCAAGATAACACCCTGCTTCCTACCTATCTTCACACAGGTCAGCAAAAGTCTCAATCTTGGAAGTTCAATGTTTTGCTTTCTAGTGACAGGAAAGATGTATTTTTTTTTGTTGATTGTAGAGAAAAAGGTAGGATATTTTATAACTCAGAAAATATCACTTACTTGTTAACAGCAGATACAACTTCATTAATAACTTGTGGGCACATCTTAACAATTTTAGAAAGTGCTTCTTCTAATGCAGGAGATTCTATGGAGTTGTTCTCAATCATTACATGAAAAAGTGGCTCTACCCATGATTTGTACCACTGAGGGTAGGGAAGTGTCTTGAAGTCAGCAGATGACATAGCCACAAATGCACCAGATACCTATAAAGTTCAGTTGTTTGCTTTCAAAAGCTAAGGAATATTCTTCTAAAAATAACACTAAGAAGATTACAATTCACCTAAGACCACTCACATGAGATGACATAGATGTACACTGCATTGCCTTTAAAAGATAGCTGATTACATTTGGAATTTTTTTGATAATTTCAGAGGTGCTCATATAAGCCGTCATTGTTGACAGTATCACATAACGACTGCGTTTTGTCTCAGGTGTTAATCTAACAACTTCACACATCTTATCATCCAAATCAATACCTAATGAAAACAATAATGAATTATGAAAGATAAAGACAGTAATGAATTTAAAAGTAAAACACATTTCAAAATTTCATTACCCAAAGGGATAAAGGTCTCTTTTATTTGCATCAAATTTTCCAGTATTGCTTTAGCTAAATGTCTTACAGCATCCATGTGGTGATCAAGGAGGCCCAAAAGATGTTTCAAAATATTTTCCACCTGAGATACTTGCAAAGAACTGGCAAGTTTGGAATTTAGAGCAATTACTCTTGTCAGCTGTTGAACTACTCGCCAGAGGGCTAATACCACATTGCTTTCTTGAATGCAGCTGCACACATGAAAATAAATATAAAAATCAATTTCACTTTACTGGTAAAGTAGGTCTAAAAGCCACATTAGGAAATAGGAATAGTTAATAAACTCACAGTTCATTCACAGATAGTGCTACATCAAGGATGCAAGCAATCACTGCTTTCTTATTTGTTGAATGTAACAATTCAAATTGATTAGGTTTTAATCCAGACAAGAGGCCTGAACAAATACACAGGATGGATAGCTCATCGGTAGTTGGTATAGTTCTATCAGTTTCCAGCAGCTGAAATCAAGAGAATGTATTTTCAAAAACAATTCTTGATTAGATTATTTTTGCAAGTAATAAATATTTAGAAAAACAAACCTTCATCCAGCCTTGAGGTCCTTCAAGATATTCCAAAATTAGGACCATAACAAACCCAAAATTAGTTCGTGTGTCCAGAGGAACATCAGGTCTATTCATAAAATGAATAGCAGAGTTTAAGATGGCAGACATATTGAATCTCAAAGTTGCTTGAAGATTTGCAGCTATTCGTTGAAGTACAGTTATAATTATCCTAGAGATGGTATGAGCAACTTTGCTTACTTCCACCTTAAACATTGGGGTGTTATCAGAGCTGAAAGCATATTCAAAATTCTTAGCTTCTGATATAAATTTGATATTAGAACATATCATTACACACAGCATACTGGTGGGATTTACTGGATATAAAGGGCAAAATCAAAATACCTCAAAAAAGACTGGCACAGGTTCAGAGCTTGCTTCAAATATTCAATAATATCCAAAGTCATGCCATCTAAAATATCTGGGCCCAACTTAAAATTTTCATAACAGCCTAATAGAGCACTAGAGGCAACAGTCAAATTTGTGAGGTCTTTTCTGTTGTGGACTGCTTCTTGTAAATGGCATTTGAGACCTTCTCGCAGATATTTGACACATGATTCTTTTGCATGTTGATTGATTGAATTAAATGTTCTAGAAGATTTCACATAAGAATAAATTAAAGATAATACATAAATGAAGAACCCATTTGTCATTCAAATTACATACTTTGTAAGAGCACATTTGATAGGATGTTTTAACGGGGCTGTTAAATATAAATCAGCGGCTATATGTACATAGTTCAAGTCAATGGCAGTTGAAATATCTTCGTCTACTATAGCTAGATGGCCTGATATCTGAATATTAAGTAAGATTCACAACAATAAGGTTTGTACATTAACATGGAATTTACAAGAAGAACAATTAATGACAAACTGTAGGGGCTGAATTCTTACTTTCTTAATCACATCCATCTGCTCTTCAACGTTGAACGAAGTTGACACATTAAGGAGGAGTTGAGCTTTTATTTCCTTAGACAGTTGATCTGGAAACAGGGTGTTTAAAAAATTAAAACAGTCTTGAAAATTTAAAAATAGTTGTCTTCGGTGTTTTGTTAGCAAAAATCTATAGAAACAAGCAAACAAACCAGATGGATCTGTCATTCTGTCTGCTGAGAGTAACTTACAAGTCTCTGAAGTATAGGCAGTCTGAACTGGCCTCTCAAGTTTTGGTTTAGTCACTGGACCATCTTCATTAGCCTGGGCACTTTCAACAGGATCAATCATTTTAGATGAGATAAATGGCGAATTTTCTACGAAACAATGGAAAACATAACCTGTTTGAACATGCTAGCTGGTGCTCGGCCGGCTGTCCACTGTACTGCAAATAACCTAAATATCGTGCAAACAGTTCACAGTGCGCATGCGCAGGTTTCATTTGTTGATTGTTTGGAATTTGGAATCGTAAAGGGAAAGAGCTTGTTGCGCTTGTGTTTGTACAAATCTTTGGCTTCGGTAAGACATCCTTCGATCTAATATGGGGGTGTTAGAGATTATTTTTTTTCCCCTTCAAACTTTGTAATATATCAATTTGTGATGATTTCCCTCCTCCCCTAGTTCTTTTGAGCTGCACTTGCTTAACAGTTAACCCCTTCTTCCACCCTCTGGGTCCACCCTCTCTTTGCGACTGTTACTTGGCTGTCTGAAGCAAGATAATTTGTTTGTAATGAGTTTCAACTTACTCTCTGAATACCAAAACTATCCTAGCTACAGTTAGGCACAATCAGTTTTCATTTCTGAGTCCATAATTGAAAAGTTGTTATTGATATCATTACCTCATACTGTCCCTCAACTGTCCCCAATTATATTTTGTCAAGTGTTTGTTTCTGAATTCTTCATTGCCTGTGTTACTTTCAGATTTGGTGCTGCTTGTAGCATGCTACCCCAACGCCGTCAGACCAGAGCATCTGTTGGCTCTACTACTACATCGGAGACAACCAGGCGGCCATCAAATGAAATCAATTCTCCTCGAACAAGATCTGGCAACAAGATCAACACCAAAACTCTTCCTTCTCCATCTCAGCTTAGAAAATCATCAAACGAGTCTCCCCTGAGAAGACGTGCATCAACACCCTCAAATGCATTGTCACCTGCCAAAAGTAATCTGTCAAAACCAAAGTCACCCTTGAAACAGATTGAGAAGATTACAGAGACCTTGCCAAAGAAGAAGCAGCAGAGTCAAGTAGTACCCACTGCATCTGTAGTGAAAAGCTCAAAGACATCACCTAAAAAACCTGTTTCAGTTCTGTCAGTGACTTCAGTCTCTTCAAAACCTCCAGCACAATGTAGGAGCACAAGAGGCAATTCTGTCTGCAGTTCTCCATTGACTGATGTTAAGAAAGTAGTAGGAAGGCCTTCTCGTACAAAATCCCCCATAAAATCTGCAACCAAGCCATTGTTGAAGTCTCCCTCACAATCTCTTTCTAAATCCCCTTCAAAATCCCCCTCAAAGTCCCCTTTGAAAAAATCTCCTTCTAAATCCTATTCTAAAGCCCCCTCTAAATCCCCCTC